GTATGCGTGTATGGAGTGTACATGTGTGTGGTATAGGCAGACATATTCTTGCAGGTGTACATGCACATGGAGACCCAAACAGAAAGCCAGATGTTCTCTGCCACTCTCTGTCTTACTCCTTAAAGCAGTGTCTTTCACTGAACCTGGAACTCATGGTTAATTTCTTGTTCGTTTATTTCTTTGTTTTGGCTAAGCATGCAGCCTGTAATCCCAGCTCCCCAGCAATCCTCCTGCCTCGATCCCCCCATTTTGGGGTGACAGTCATTCATTTGACTTCACCTGGCTTTTGTGGGTGCTTGGATTTCAATCCTGGTCCTCTTGCATTTGCAGCACGTACTGTTAACTGCAGAGCCCTAATATCCAGGAAATGTATCAGAAATGTAGTTTGCATCCTGGTACCCTGCCTGCCTCAGGACATACCCCTGCCTGGATTCTGCACTGCATGTAGGAGACAGTGTTAGGAATAAGAAAACTCTATTAGGAAAGACAGTTGTATAGCTACAGCAAGATGACAAGGAAAAATGAGCGTGAGAGACGGGATCTTGTGTTAGAGAGCACTACTGTACAGGGTGATTTGCATCTGGTAGGAAAGGGCCTTAGAGAGTCTTCAGTGAGGAGGTCACATTAGAACTGGGTTGCAGAGATGCCTCAATTGGCAAAGTGCTCACGCATGCATGAGGACATGTTAGAGCCCCAGAACTCATATAGAAAGGTTGGTTTGATATCCCACCACAGGAGACCTGGAGACTTGCTGTCCAAGTAGCCTAGCCTACTTGGTGAGTCCCAGGTCACAGAGAAAGATGGTCCTGTCTCAAAAACCAAGGTGAATATTGCCAGCAGAATGACACCCAAGGTTGTCTTCTGACCTTCGTACATGTGCTGTCACATACACAAACATGCAAACACACAAAGTTGTTTCTGGTCCTCAAGTGACAGAGACAATTGCCATAGGGTAGAAACAGCATTTTCAGGTGCATTAAGAAACAGATGAGATGTGGGTAATCAAGAATTCTCACTAGGTTGGACAGGAGAAGCTTCATGCTGAGCTGTGTCATTGGGCCCTATATTTGGATGCTTCCAGCTTCTTGGACTAAACAGCTCTCTAGGTTCTTTGCTTCACTTTGCATGCTGGCTAGTCTCCAGTCATGTGAGCCAATATAGTAAATCCCCCGTGGTGGTTTGATTGTGAATGGCTCCTATAGACTCATATATTTGAATTAGTCTCCAGTTGGTAGACCTGTTTGGGAAGAATGGGTGTGGCCTTGGAATAGGTGTATCACTGGGGACAGGCTTTTAAGTACCAACAGACCCATGCCATTGCTACTTTGTTTCTCTGCCTTGTGGTTGCACATCAAGATGTGAGCTCTCAGCTGTTCCTTTGCTCCACCTTGATTCTAAAACCAGAACCACATGGCTGAGGCAGCCAAGTTCTGCCGCTTGCTGGGGCTGGAATGTGGCCCCTTCTAAGAATTACATCTCCTCCATAAGCTTTCTGTTGTTAATCATTTCCTTCAGTGATTAAGCTTTTCTTTAATTTCTTTTCAGAAGTTGTAAGCTTAGCTCGGTGAGCATCTTGCCCTGAGGTCACCATTCTCTTTATTCCATTTAGCATCAGGCTTTTCTTTAAACATTTTACCTCTTTGAGCTTGGACTTAGCTCTATTACTCTTATCTTCAAACTGTATATTTTGTATTTTTCCTTGTTCAGCTTGCACCTTGTCATTATAAATCTGTGTAAGAGACCACTAATAACCACATGACAGAGTCAATACTAGGCTGTCTTGGAATCTCCTCTGCCAACACCATTAACCCAATAGTTTTCAATTTAGGCTCAGGAAGATTTTTAGGACAAGGGAGAAAAGTAGCCACTTCTTTGCCAAAATATCAGAACAGTCTGTAAGCCACTTACTAATATTCTCCTTGAGCTATGTCATCATAATCTACATTGTTCTCAGCACCACTGTCTTCCACACATCTACTAGTATGGCCCATTAGGCCATACTTAAAGTTTTAAACTGCTTTCCTAATCCAGAGTCCCAGTGTCCATATTCTACCAAAAGCAGCATGGTCAAACCTGTCACAGCAATACCCCACTCCTGATACCAACTTTAGTCTTAGTTAATGTTGTATTTCTATGAAGAGACACTATGACCACAGTAACTCATATAAAAGAAAGAATTTACTTGGGGCATGCTTACAGTTTCAGAGGTTTAGTCCATTGTCACCATGGTAAGGACCATGGTTCTGGAGAAGTAGCTGAGAGTTCTATATCTGGGTCTTAAGGCAACAGGAAGATAGAGACAGTGGGGTTGGCTTGGGCTTTTGAAACCTTAAAGCCCACTCTCAGCAACATTCTTCCTCCAACAAGGCCACAGCTATTCCACTAAGACCACACCTCCTAATCCCCCTCAAGTAGTGCCACTCCCTGATGACCAGGGATTCAAATATATGAGGGTATTGGGGGCCATTCTTACTCAAATCACTACAATGTGATTCTCAGAAAACGCTTTGCTTTAATTTTTTTACTGTTTTCACTTTCTAAATGTTTTTTAAACTTATTGTTATAATTTAGAAACACTTCTTTGAACCTGTGTGTAGTATCCTATAAGTTTTTGTCTCGTTTTTGTTGAAACACACTTGGAAAGTGTTGGACAATGATTCTTCAAGATCACTTGAAATAAACCCAGTCTCTGTACTTGGCATGTTTGGTTGTGCAATTGTGACTAGAGATGTAGAAGCCTAAGGACCATTTTCACATTCTGACTGCACTCTCACATATCTTCAGCTTTCTTTATTGAGAATGACAAAAGGAGGTGGTTCCTTCAGTAAGAACAGCACCTATCTCCCCATCATCTAGCGTGATGTAACTTACAGACTAACAAAGACACCCTGAAGAAAGATGGAGTAATTCAGCCTTGGTGTGGCGTTAGGTGAAGAGATGCTCTTGCTTTGCTAAAGGCCAGGTAGATGTACAAGTTCAGGCTAACCTGTGTTGCCATGCTAGGGATCCTGGAGTGCTCGGAGGCCCAGTCTAGCTGTGTGCAGACTGTCTACTTAAGGAAAAGGAGGTGGCTTGGACTCCGTGCCCACTCTTGGGCATGCTCAGTATGTCCTTTCTCTCTAGAGCAGAGGGCAGCTTCTACCTGCCAGCACCAAAACTGACTTAGCCAGGAGCCTTCTGCTTCTCAAACCTACTTTGGCTAAGTATTTGTTACTTGTTTTGTTTGATGCTTTCCCTTAGGATCAATCACACCGTCTCCCTATTCTAACAGGATAAACCTGTAGGACCTATCAGGTTCATCTGTAGAACTGGGAGACACCTGGCTTAAAAGGTGAGTACAATGTGAAAGTGAAGAAATGTTCTGGAACTTTCTGATAAAATAACAGAGAAATGTGGGCTACAACTCCAGGGAGGCTTGAGCCCAATGGAGGATCATTTATGGGTTTTCAATATATTCACCATTTTTCTTTAAAGATTTATTTAACCGGTTTATGAATATGAGTGCTCTATCTTCATGTACGACTTTATGCCAGAAGAGAGTACCGGATCCTACTATATATGGTTGTGAGCCACTATGTGGTTACTGGGAATTGAACTCAGGACACCTGGAAGAGCAGCCAGTGCTCTTAACCTCTGAGCTGTCTCTCCAGCTCCCCCGCTGTAGTTTTTGTGCTGGACTTACTGAACTGAATATCTGACAGTCATCCTGAATTCTTCCTCCAATCTGACATTCTTTCTCATCCCCCAACCAGCACCTTGAGTGCCAGATGACAGCTCCACTCCTAGGTCACTTGCTTCAAGTCCCACCCCCCCCCACACACAAATACTCTCTTGTGTTTCATGATGGTGACATTTAATAGACCCATTTCAAGCTGCTTTCAAGGGGGAGCTACAGAGAGTGCATAGGACCATGCCCACTGTTCCTGGAAAAGGTCCATAGTGAGAGATGACTGAAGCCTTGGTGGGAGGGGCCAGCGTTCCCGGGTTCGGGTGAGACAAAATGCGTGCTTTCTTGGGTCCATGCGAAAGCTCAGAGGGCACCTGTGTTGGAGACATTCGTATTCCAATCTCAACCTGAGGACTGCTCAGCAGAGACAGAGGACAAGTTAGAAAATCTCCAAGGGTTTAACTGACAGAATGAGCAGTTAAGGATGGTCTATCAAGATTAGTAGATACACAAGTAAGAAGGGACCTCTGAGAGGGACTGAAGGGACAGCGAGGGACCAAAGTATGCGTGACATGATAGTGGGAAGAACTATTTTGCCAGAGGAAGGGGACCAGAGAGCCAGCGGGCTGATGGGAAGCCGGGAGGAGGGCGAATAAGAATCAAGTGTTATGATACACGTGCATGAGAATCTCATAATGAAACCCACTACTTGGTGTGCTGACCATAATTTTTTAACAAAATGTAAAAAGTCTCATGGGAGAGGCAGGTGGGTGGCCCGGAGGCAGCTTCCCGAACTCTATGGTAGCGAAGCAACTGTTTCCAGAGGACTGGACATGGCGTCAAGCTCTATCTTTCTTCTGCTTCCTGGCTGTGTCATCAAGTGTTTGGAGTTTCCTTTAAAGCCATCAACATCCATCTCACATCCCCAAGGGCTGTCAATGAGACAATAGGCCTTGACTAAGCCCCACACTGAGTCCACGGTCTCGCTGGGAAGAAATATTCCAGGTCTGTTTCAGGATTTGCCGCATCCCAGGATCCGCCTGGATTAGGAGCCGCCTCGGTATTGGGATGTGCCAAAGTGCCAAGGCTACTGTTCAGATAGAAACCAACGTGGTGCACAAACCCGGCCTCGCAGCAGCGTGACCTCACATAGTCCCCCCAAGGCTGCTTACACCTGTTCTCCGGCTTGCTCTACAGAAAGCCGGTGAGCGTGAGGGAGGGGGGCGGCCCGAGTCCGGGCTGCAGAGCTGGGGGACCGGTGCAGGCTGCGCTGGGGACTGCGGTGCCCGGTGCAGCGAGCGAGCGGGGAGAGGGGCAGCTGGAGCAGAGCGCGTCACGGGAGCGAAGAGACGCTGCACAGCCCTATAGGCGGAGGCGCGCTGGCCGCTGCGGGAGCAGAGGTATAAAAGTGCTGTGAGAACGGGGCGAGCGCCACCGCGGGCTGGGGTGACAGAGGCGGGTGGCAGTCCCGCGCGATCCTGAGCCTCTCTGCATTCCGGAGTTCCCTCTGCGGTCCAGACTCCCCGCGGATCTCCGTTGCCTCTCCAGTAGGGACCCAGCGTGGGCCAGGTCCCTCAGAGGTCGGGGCTTCCTCTGGGCTCCGCGCCCCTCATCCCTCCTTCCTTCTGCCTGGCGAACCCCTGTAGACCGGTGCGCGGAGCGCCTGGCGCCCAGCCCTCGCGCACCGATCCCGGCGGGGAGTCTGGCCCTTGTGCCCAGAGCCACAGTGGCTGGGCGTGATGGTCCCTCCTGTCCTGCTGCTCTTTCTCCTGTCCTCGGTGCGAGGCACTGAGCAGCCGCAGGTCGGCACTGAGCATCCCAGCATGGAGGCATCCCTGACCGGGTCCAATGCCTCACACTTCTGGACCAACTACACTTTCTCCGACTGGCAGAACTTCGTGGGCAGGCGACGCTACGGGGCCGAGTCTCAGAACCCCACGGTGAAGGCCCTGCTCATCGTGGCCTACTCTTTCATCATCGTCTTCTCGCTCTTCGGCAATGTGCTAGTCTGTCATGTCATCTTCAAGAACCAGCGCATGCACTCTGCCACCAGCCTCTTCATCGTCAACCTGGCCGTGGCAGACATCATGATCACGTTGCTCAACACACCATTCACTTTGGTAAGGACAGACCCCCGTGGGCCCCCTCTCTCTTGCGGAAGCATGGGTCCCTTCTCTCTCCTCCTGTCATTCTGTCTCTTCCGAGTCCTCGCTACTTCCAGGCTCTTCCCCCTCCTCCTACCTCCTGTCCTCTGTCACCTCAGCCTTAGTTTTGTCTTAGTTTTGGGTCTCCTTTCTCTCCTGTCACTCACCAATATTCATCCCTTCCGCCTCTGTCTCCCCCTCCTTTTTTCCCTTCCTCTCCAAGCCAGAGTTTCTGCAGCTGTGTGGCACTGGTTCAATACACCAAGTGTTTGCAGTTGGCTCTAAAGGATTGACCACTCACTGTGTAACCTCCCAGGTCACAGGCATTCGGAATGAGCCCGGTAAATCAGGTCCCCGCGATGACAGCAGAGGTTATCAGGTCACTTCTTGTCCCTCAAGTCAGCCTCTGAAAAGCCCGTCAGGTGCCACTTGGAGGGGCCATCTGAAGCAGCAGCAGTAGTTGTTGACCAAGTCTGAAGCATCTCCCTTGATGCTGGTGGGTTAGCTGTGTCCTTCTGTGGCTTGACAGGGCCCCTGTGGGAGGCTTTTGCTGGGAGGGAATAGCATGAGGTTGGCCTGGAGCCTGGGGCCTGGGACATTTGCACAGGGTAAGCAATTGGCTCCCTCTCTGAGCTCCTGGTGCTGCTTCTGTCCCTTAGTGACCAGGGAGCTCATGGACTGTTTGAAACAGCGAGGGTGTGACTGAGCGATCCCGGGGACAGACAGCTCATCTCTAAAGCAGAGTTCCAGCCTTTCCAACATTTTGGGATAACTTGTTATTAGAGTTATAGCCAAGTACAATGTCTGTCTGTCTGTCTATCATCTCATACGCAAATGACAGACAGCACAAAGATAGACAGATGGATCCTCGCGAGCCCATGGCTCATGTGCTGTCCTTCCAAATCTTCCATCTTCAAAGCACTCTCGTGCTCCCCCACTCTCCTCCTGAGAGCATATTCACATAATGTAAGGAAACCAAGGCACAGAAGCCCAGCTCTTGCCCAAGGCCACCTGCAGAGTCAGGAGACCGCCCTTCACTGAAGCCCACTAGTGGGAGTGGGGACCCCTTGACTCACGTTCCGTTTCCACGGCCCCAGTTTCCTTCTGCCTGCACTCACCAATCGGTGGCCACCCAGGGCCCTCTAGGCACTGACTAAGGACATAAGGGCTTCCCAACAATGGCCTTGTGCCTTCCTGGCTCTTAGAAAAGCTGCTTCTTGGCTGTGTGTGGCTTCTCCTCGGCTTCCCATCAGAGAAAGGGCAAGCTGGGGTGGGTCTTGGATGAGAGCTGCAAGTGTCCAGGACTTTGTCGCTGCTGTTGAGAGGCAGGCTGCAGGGTCAGATATACATAGGCATGGGGGGGAGGGGGACAAAGAAGCAGTGGACCTGAAAGCTGAATGCCACAGGGACCTCGTGTGAGAAGGAGGGACTCTCTGCCTTTCCTTCATGACAAACCAGAGCAGCCTGGCTTTGAACCTGATCCATGGAACCTCCCCAGTCCAGACTCCTCTGGAGCCTCCGGGGTGTTGCTGTGGGCACACAGGTGGGTTAGAACCGGGAGAGGGGATCTTCAGATCCCCTGCCTTCTCAGCACGGACTTCCTACTGGGGTAAGGCATCGCCTCTGCCTGCTTGGTGACAGTCACCTCCTCCTGGGCCTCTCTTCCCAGCCACTGTTCCCAAGGCAGTCAGCATGAAGACTGACTCTGATCGTTGAGACGATAATGAACCCTTGCTGACAGCTCCCGAGACATGCAGACAGCGTAGTGGGGCCCGGAGGAGGAAGGCCTTCATTCTGACTCACCAGGGGGTCAAAGGAGACCTCGCAAAGGCAGGATGTGGCATTCCATCAGCTCTGCAAGAGCCAGATCTCCTGGGTTGAGATCAATGACCAGTACACACAGTATGGGGGGGGGCGGCCCAATGGAGGAGCCACTGAGCGCACCTTGTGTTGAGAGGACACTGAGTAGCTGGGGGAAGGAGGGGAACAGAAACAAAGGACACATCAGCTGAGCTGGGCCAGAAAGAGAGGCTGGGTCAGGTGTGGCTGGCCCGGGACCTCCTGGAGCACACGTGTGTCGGGACAAGGACAGGAGCAGGAAGCTTCTGGGAGGTGGTAAAGGGTGGTGGCCTGTCAGAAGTTTAGATTTACTCACAAATTGTGGGCAGGAGGCAGAGGGACTGAAGATGTCCTGCTTCTAGCCTCAAAGGCTCCCCCCCTCCCCGCCTCCCAGCCGCAGGACCAAGCCCTGGATCTTCTGTTTCCCTGAGGGGATGCAGCCAAACTCGACCCAACTTTCCTGAAAACATGCTGGCACACACCCGGCTCCTCCTCGTTTCCCAGCAGACCCTGATCCAAACTTGATGGCCTTTGACCTAGTCTCCCCGTATACGAGTCCGTGCTCATCTTAAGCGCCCCCTTTAAGTCACAATGGCAGTTTAGAGGCTAAGGTACTTGCTAAGTGCTGTATGCATTCTATACCCGTGTTCGATCAGGCATGGGTTTCATAAACACATGTGACAGTGTGAGCCTTCTTCATAGATGTAGGGCGTTAAGAATCAGAGACTCCAGAGTGGGGATGCATAAGCTTTGGTGGGGGAAGCCCGGTGGTCCACACTTCAGCACCTGCAATATTTCTTGGCTGGGAAGGCCAGGAAGCCTCCTGAGGGATTCTCCTTAGATACCAAATAGAGACATAACTGTGTCAGTCAAGGCTGGTCCGTCCTATGATCTGTCTGTCACCTACCGGCTCACTAAGATGACAGCAGGAAGTGACAAGCTCTCCACTGTAAATCCAAGGCACGAGAGAACTCCTGTCTCTTCCTTTGCTGGCTCCACCCCCTCCTAGTGACCAGTTTTCCCGGTATCTGACCCTCTGTTGGGCACTCCCTTCCCAGATCAGACATGCCTTGGTCAGAACTGACGCTCCATCTCCCCTGGATACATTCCTTACTCACAGGAGCTGCTCCAGGCTGAGTGAGCCTGAGTGAGTACAGGGCCCTGAGTGCTGCTGAAGGAGGACCTTGTCTCCCCTGGGGGTCGCATTTCTCCCCATCCTAACCTTCACCTTTCCCCGTATCTCCATCCCCGGTGGTCAGCTGCAAGCTTGGTACAGACCTGGGTCTGCAGTGTAGCTCAGTTGTGGATGGCTCGCATACTGTGTACGGCTCTAAGTTGAAAGACACACACACACACACACACACACACACACACACACACCCCTTCTAAACACACTCAACAGGCTGTATCGTGACGTTTTGAAGATGTTTCCCCCTTAGACTGGGTTCCATTCAGTCAAGAATTTTATTACACTTAAAAATGTTGTTTTCCAATTTCTAATAATCAACTTCCAACAATTTGCTGGGCAATTTCTCCCATCTTTACAGATTTTATAATAAGCCTTTCAGGTAAGGATTTTGAAACCACTTTCTGCAAATGGGAAAACTGTGGTTACCAGAGCAATAAATCGTGGTGGAAAGGCTAACCCCTAGAGCCCACATATTTCACAAGCTTTTCTGATACTTGATGGTTTAGGACCGTGATTGGGGTTTGGTGAATTCAATAAGCAAGAATGGGTTATGCTGGGGAAAGCCCCGAGACCTGTGCTTTGGCACAGTAGCTGGAAGATTCCTTGGCTGGGAGAACTGAGAGATCTCCTGAAGAAATGGTCTTCAGGAACCACTGAGAGGTGGAGATGGGTATCAGTAAAGGCCTACCCACCCTGTCCATCCCCTGATGCCTGTATCCTACCCACCCTGTCCATCCCCTGATGTCTGTATCCTACCCACCCTGTCCATCCCCTGATGTCTGTATCCTACCCACCCTGTCCATCCCCTGATGTCTGTATCCTACCCATCCCCTGATGTCTGTATCCTACCCACCCTGTCCATCCCCTGATGCCTGTATCCTGTCCATCCCCTGATGTCTGTATCCTACCCACCCTGTCCATCCCCTGATGCCTGTATCCTACCCACCCTGTCCATCCCCTGATGTCTGTATCCTACCCACCCTGTCCATCCCCTGATGTCTGTATCCTACCCACCCTGTCCATCCCCTGATGCCTGTATCCTACCCACCCTGTCCATCCCCTGATGTCTGTATCCTACCCACCCTGTCCATCCCCTGATGTCTGTATCCTACCCACCCTGTCCATCCCCTGATGCCTGTATCCTACCCATCCCCTGATGTCTGTATCCTACCCACCCTGTCCATCCCCTGATGCCTGTATCCTGTCCATCCCCTGATGTCTGTATCCTACCCACCCTGTCCATCCCCTGATGTCTGTATCCTACCCACCCTGTCCATCCCCTGATGCCTGTATCCTACCCACCCTGTCCATCCCCTGATGCCTGTATCCTGTCCATCCCCTGATGCCTGTATCCTACCCACCCTGTCCATCCCCTGATGCCTGTATCCTGTCCATCCCCTGATGCCTGTATCCTGTCCATCCCCTGATGCCTGTATCCTACCCACCCTGTCCATCCCCTGATGCCTGTATCCTACCCACCCTGTCCATCCCCTGATGCCTGTATCCTACTCACCCTGTCCATCCCCTGATGTCTTGTATCCTACCCACCCTGTCCATCCCCTGATGTCTGTATCCTGTCCATCCCCTGATGCCTGTATCCTGTCCATCCCCTGATGCCTGTATCCTACCCACCCTGTCCATCCCCTGATGATGCCTGTATCCTACCCACCCTGTCCATCCCCTGATGTCTGTATCCTACCCACCCTGTCCATCTCCTGATGTCTATATTCCATTCATCCTTTCCATCCCCTGATGGATGTCTGCATTTTACTCACAGGTCCATCCTGTCCACGGCTGACATCTGTGTCCTACCCACAGGTCCGCTTTGTGAACAGCACATGGGTGTTTGGGAAGGGAATGTGCCACGTGAGCCGCTTTGCCCAGTACTGCTCTCTACATGTCTCAGCTCTGACGCTGACAGCCATCGCTGTAGACCGTCACCAGGTGAGGGCACCCACCCCTGGCGCCATGCTCCCCTCCCTGGTTACGTCTGCCTGGCGTCCGTAAGGAATAGTCTCACAACAACAGTGACTCGTTCAGCCCAGCCGTCAGTGTGCACACTTGTCTCCTTGTCGATCAATTTCGACAAGGACGTGAGGGGTACTAAAACCTTTGGTAGCTGCAGAACTACAGCTACTCTGTTGTTGAAGTTAAGATTCACTGCTGGAATTTCCCATCTCTAAAGTTAATGAATCGTTTTGGTGGTAGAAAAATCAAACCCAGAAAGTTACAGACGGGAAGGAAGAAGCATGGAACTGCAGGTCGGAGCTGCAGGTCGGAGCTGCAGGTCGGAGAAGGCTCTTAACTGGGAGATGCAGAGTCTCCGGCCCAGACTGTGTAGGAGGAACACAAACCAGGTGTCTTGACAGCAAGAGCAAGCATGTGGGATGATGCCCCGTGGGGTAGGCACTCAGGGAGGACCCAAAGACATCCACTGTGAGAGAGGCTGGCTCTGGGCCCGGTGCATTGCACCTACTGACCCCATGGCCATTAGCACAAATTCTGATTATTCAGTGGTTCTCAAACTAATGCTGTGACCCTCTAATACACTTCCTCATGTTGTGGTGACCTCCAACCATAAACTTATTCTCTCTCTCTCTCTCTCTCTCTCTCTCTCTCTCTCTCTCTCTCTCTCTCTCTCTCTCTCACAGGGTTTCTCTGTGTAGCTCTAGCTGTCCTGGAACTCGCTCTGTAGACCAGGCTGGCCTTGAACTCACAGAGATCCGCCTGCCTCTGCCTTCCCAGTGCTGGAATTAAAGGCCTGCGCCATCACTGCCCAACCCATTGCTACTTCTTAACTGTAGTTTTGTTACTGAGTGGTGTCTCGGTTCCTAAGGCCATCAGAAATACATGTTTCTGGTGGTTATGACCCTCAGGTTGAGAACCACTGAGTCAGACCATGTTAAATTGGGGAACAGGTTCAGAAATGCACACATAGTTTTCCCATGATCATGTGACCAGGCTAAAATGAGGACCAACATCTGTCTGGCTCCAAGACATCCTGTGGCCACTAGACTGCCCTGCTCTGTGATGATTTAAACAGACCCACAAGGCAAGTACCCTGAGGACAAGAGAACCAAGCTTTGCTCTGAGATGACCCGAGAAGCATAGGGCCAACAGAGAAATGGCTTCAAAGACCCAACTAAAAGCATCATGCCGTGTGAGGAACAATTTTCTAGTAGAAATAAATGGTCCAAGTGGACAAAGCTTCCTAGGACACAGTGTCTCATGTCACAGTCACATCTAAGTGCTTCTGGGTGACAACTTGATAAGATGTTTTTGAAGGGGTTTGCACATCAGACAAGGAATGGACTGCCCATAGTTTTGATCTCTCTATTTCTGAAATGCCACGATCGCGTCTGGATCAGGTCTTCACACAGTCAGGTGCATCAAAGCCAGCGGGAAAAAAGTGCACACAGCTATTACTTCCCCCTGCTCAACCTCCACTAATTCAGTCAGAGCTTGGGGTACCTCTGCAGGACCCCATCTCACCAACGGAAACATTTTTAACTTCTATCTTTATTTAAGCTTCTTAGAGTTGTTGATTGGCTGGCACACAATACCAATTCTAAGATGCACTTTGGCTCTGCACCTGTGATGCTGGTTTCCTTTGGAATGCATGGAAGCCACTTTGTGCTGGGATTTAGTAATGGTCTTAATAGGTGGCATCAAATCAACTTTCTGCAGTGAGTGACAAGAGATTACTCCCTGTGGTCAGAATCCTCCATATCACCAGGGCTGTGGAACCATTGAATGGTGGGCCAGATCTCCAGGAGGTGGAGCTTAGCCTGGGGCCCCTCCTACCATCTCTGTTCCCTCCTCCCACCCCTACCCTGCTCTTGGCACGTGAAAGAGGCCCTGGGACTACCAGAGGTCACGAATCCACGCGACCCCCTCTCCCCATCCCTGGAGTTGAGCTGTGGCCTGAGTGACCTCCCTTCAATGCCTCAGCTGCCTGGTGCAGCTCAGGGGCCACCAAGGAATGTAAAGGGTGCTCAGCACTTGATAAATAAGACCTGTCTTACATAACCCATGAGCCTTGCGGCCTGGACTCCAATCTGCTTCCGACTTCAGGGGAGACACTCTTCTCTTGCTTTCTAGGTCATCATGCACCCCTTGAAGCCTCGGATCTCCATCACCAAGGGCGTCATCTATATTGCTGTCATCTGGGTCATGGCCACGTTCTTCTCGCTGCCACATGCCATCTGCCAGAAACTGTTTACCTTCAAGTACAGGTAAGGCATGTCAGTGGGGGCAGCCTGGGGAGTCAGGGAAGAGTGCACCATGCTGGCCTTCTCCAGAGTGGACCTGGACCACAATCACAGGAACCCAGCTGGAGCCCTAACTGTTGGGTGTACCTGCCCCAGTGAGTGGTTCTTACCAGCTCCCAGCCCATGCTTAATCTCTGTGTTGTTTTTCCCTGTGCAGTTCTCACCGTTAGCTCTGCCTTACTAGGCTGTTTGCAAGGATAAGGCAGTTGTTACCAGCTTCGGCCACCAGGAGGCATATGCTCACACAGCGCAAGATGGGTCTCCGCTCTGCCTTGTTTTAAATGAGCAAGATTTCAAGCCTCAGAGAACTTAGAAACAAAATAAGTGCGAGTATATACTTCTGAGGCAGGATTCTGAGACAGGCGTCTCTGCCAACGCCCAGTTTGGTCCTTAGCATGTGCTCTCCCCAAACGGGGAACTGGTTTTTTGAAACACTCATTTAAAAAACTGCCGTCTACATCATTACAGCCTGAGCCCGCACAGACCGACTGCAGGGAGGCTAGCTCATGTTCAGCTTCCGAGGTCTGTCTGAGTTGAGCACCTGGCTCACGGCCTCCACGTCACAAGCCCGCAGTTCATACGCAGACTGGGCAAAGGAGGGCTTTGGATGGCTTCGGCTACTCCCTGGGAACCGGCAGCCTCCCTTCCTCCGCCTCTTTCTAGAATGTGTAAGACGTTAACAAGCCACAGACATGACTAGAGGCATGTTTACTTTGCTGCATACTCTCCCTGCCTTCCATCTTTTAGTGATTTATCAGTTTCTCTTTGGGGTGAGAACTGAGGACAAAGGGGACTCTAAGATTTCCTCAAGAAAGTGCTGGTTTCCTGAGCAGTTACCCTGCTGTTTCCTTCCTTCCTTCCTTCCTTCCTTCCTTCCTTCCTTCCTTCCTTCCTTCCTTCCTTCCTTCCTTCCTTCCTTCCTTCCTTCCCTCATTCATCATCTGTTGATTCATTCACTGACTATCCTTGGGGCCCACTGTGTGCAAGGGATGATGCCAAGTTCAGGGAACACGGAGTCTGAGCCTTCCCATCCTCTATAAAATACTCTATACCCTGTGGGGAGATGGGATGATCAGGCCACAGTTTCAAGAGGACCGGGACAGACGTGCCCAGGCCTGGGGTAGGGAGGCCAGCGTTCCTCGGCAGGAAGTGGTAACACTGACTTCCCCGCTCATGGTCTGCCCTGCCCCCATCTTTCTTCTTCTGTCCCTCTTGGTCCAGCGAGGACGTTGTGCGCTCCCTCTGCCTGCCAGACTTCCCAGAGCCGGCTGACCTCTTCTGGAAGTACCTGGACCTGGCCACCTTCATCCTGCTCTACCTGCTTCCACTCTTCATCATCTCCGTGGCCTACGCCCGTGTGGCCAAGAAGCTGTGGCTGTGTAACACCATTGGCGACGTGACCACCGCGCAGTACCTCGCCCTGCGGCGCAAGAAGAAGACCACCGTGAAGATGCTGGTGCTTGTGGTCGTCCTCTTTGCCCTCTGCTGGTTTCCCCTCAACTGCTACGTCCTCCTCCTGTCCAGCAAGGCCATCCACACCAACAACGCCCTCTACTTTGCCTTCCACTGGTTCGCCATGAGCAGTACCTGCTACAACCCCTTCATCTACTGCTGGCTCAACGAGAACTTCCGGGTTGAGCTAAAGGCATTACTGAGCATGTGCCGAAGGGCGCCCAAGCCTCGGGAAGACAGGCTGCCCTCCCCAGTTCCTTCCTTCAGGGTGGCTTGGACAGAGAAGAGCCATGGTCGGAAGGCTCCAACAGCCAGTCGCCACATGCCCTCTTCCCAGGTCCAGTCTGGGAAGACAGATCTGTCCTCTGTGGAGCCCATTGTGGCCATGAGTTAGGGGAAGCAGGAAGAAGTGGGGAGGGCTCTGTCCTCTCGTGATGGACTGGGTGCTCACAGTGTCAGCGAGTCCCACAGAAGCAGAGAGACTCTTGGGTTCCTAGGAACCTGTCCAGCTTCCTCCCCCCGTGTGATGTGCATACCACCTAGAAGATGCCACAAGGTGTTGTACCAAGATCTTTGAGCAAGAGCCGTGACAGCCACCTCGGCTCCAACAGAGGCTGGCTCAGTCAACCACCTCCAGCTATCCAGAACCTGCCACCTTGCCCTTCCAACTGCTGAGCACTCGCAGGGGGACCTGAATCATACTTGGTGATCCAAATGCCCAGAAAACAGCTTTGCTAGCCGGGAAGAACAGGCACAAAGGCTTTCAGAAGTCATTGAACCAAGCATAACCACACATCTTCAATGGCTCTGGCTCTCCCCATCCATGACCAGACAGGACCCATTTTGCCTTCTTAAAATAAAGAGAAATTAATTAGTGTTACCACTTTTAAAAGTTCAGAGAAGTGCACAAATGAATTAAGATCAGCCCGATAGCCCATCGATTTGTAAAAATGCCTGTTAATGTGCTGTGAATTTGTCTGTAACTCTGCCCTGTGTGTGTGTGTGTGTGTGTGTGTGTGTGTGTGTGTTTGCACTTTTGAAATCCTGAACTACACATGCCCATTTAGATCATAATAATTGGCGAGAAGCAGACCACGTCAGGGTACGACTGAACTCCCCCATGATGAATGGGGCCCCTCAGTGCAACTGAAGAGAAGAGAGGAGGGCAAGCTGAAGGCTGCAGCCAACGGTGGGTGGGGCCTGCCCTCTCCTGGATGATAGCCATCAAGATGAGCAGCATAGGAGAGCTGGGGGTAGGATTCCCCCATGCCCACCACCCCCAGAAATGAGAGGGGCGAAGTACTGTCCTGTTTTCACGGGCAATGAGGGGACTTGCTTTCCAGTAAGCTGGAAATAATTGTGCTTAGACACCTCATCTGCCCGAGCTGTCTAGACAGGACATGTCTCTTTGTTGTCTGAAAGATGAGATTTTTTTCACACCAATTCCTGAAGGAAGATTCCCCTGTCAACATCACCTGAGAAATTCATGACTCATTTTCCAAAACCTACGGGCTTCTTAAAGCAACTTTATTCCCTAAGGGCCCATTGTTGGAGAAATCTCATTCCAGATAGTTGGTGTTCTCATCATCCTGCATGTGGTCTCAGTGGCCTCCAGCGTCACCTAGAGAGTGCTGTGTCGGGTGGACTGAATCTACCCCACCCCCCAGGGCCAGAGCAGCCCCTGCAGCTGCTGTGTGTGCTTTGGACTCCCATCTCATCACGGAGAGGTCTCCGTGGAGTGGGAAACTGAGTCTGAGGGAGGAGAGGCTCGTCCCAGACTCATTTAGAACTCTCAGTTGTTAACTGGAGCACAACTTGACTACGTCTACTTCTCTGTAACAAGGGTAGTTTTTAAATCTAGCTTATCCACGAGAAGGCTAGAAAATTTCCAAGATAAAATGGAACAGCAGATTTTTTTTAATGACTTGAAGAGGGCAGCAGGAGATTTCTAACTATAAAGTGGGTTTGGGGGTCACAGCTTCTGCATTTGCCCCGGTCCCTGTAATGTCAGCCTGTAGCTGTGAGTTGCATTTTCTATGTGGTGGTGGAGAGCTGGGGCACTCACTAGCCTGAGGACAGGCTGCAGAGACTTACCGAGCATGTGTCTTCCCCTGGGAATTGTGGGAAAAGCTGCAGTCATACCTCCCTGAGGGCAGCTAGAGATAGCACCACACATCACAGAGTCAGCCTCGGGTCTGGGTCTCCTGCTGGCACCTGTCTGTCCCCTTTCCTGCTTTCCCGTATGCTTCCAAGCAAACGTGACTAGTAATCATGAATGTGGTCTTTGTGAAGCCCGAGTTTGTCCAATCTGCTGTAAAGTTGCTTTGTTGTAAATCACTCTAGGTTCAGTAAAACCTCTACTGTGTGTGCAGGCTGTGCTTCTTGGACTGGTGACCGCGTCACAGCTGGCGACTTTAAAAATGGGGATTGCATGGATTACATGAAGAGCTCAGGAGATGCTCAGGGTGAAGCCCAGAATTTTAACTTAGGAAGTCTGGGCACGGAGAAGGTGAGGAGGGAGCAGAGAGACCTGACTCTTTCCCGGCAGCTGCCATGCCCTCTTTGGTGGTGCTACATCTGGGTTGTATGCTTGAACCCTGAGCTACATCTGTCTTTGGAGATGGGGAGGACAGAGAACAGCTACTAGGGTCTGCTCTCGATGGCGGCACCCTGTAGACAGCCTCCCTGGGTGTCCTGTGATTGATGCCATTCTAGGCCTGGAGCCCCACTATAGAGAAACACCCCGATGCCGTCTCAGACAACCGTTAACGTCAGCTTTAAAAACAGATGGAAATGAAGGTGACATGATGACCTAGAAGAAAATCGAAAAGAAAAGCAAAAGATTAAAGAGAGGGGGACTCAGATTTGTGGGTGTTTCTTCAGGCAGTGGATCTCACCCTCCCTGCATTCGCTGGGGTGGGCATTGGTATTTCTGTGTCTCAGAGGAGGAAACTGAGGTTCAGAAAACTTAGATAACTTTTGAAGATCACAGTCGAAACTGAAAAGCATTACCATCTTGGAGGTCAAATCCTGTGAAAGAGTAGAAAGGAATCCCATGTTTTTATTTTGATTCCATATTCTCCAAAGTGTCTTGATGGCAAGGTTTTCTATGGGGGGAGGGCAAAGTATGTTAGCCACCCCAAAAACCAGGCAAACCCTTCCTTAAGTTACTTGTGCCAAGCGTCTGGCAACACCAACAAGCAAAGAAACGAATGAAGAGCCTACCGTGGCTGCCCCACCCCGAGGGATCTGAGGAGACGGTTCGCTGGGGACACAGGCCTGTCTCAGAGTGGGCCCGAAGCTAGCAGACCCATGCTGCCGGGCCTGGTGCCAGAGAGACCAACGGTTAGCGTCTTTAGTGTCTCCGTGCACCCTCTAGGGCCATTTTCTCCCATTTCAAGTAGTAGTTAGGGAAAATGTTGCAAGGCGGAGGTATTTAAAGTGAGGAGGCTAGGCCTCCTCCTGGGCTACTTGCTGCTTTGAAGGGACAACATGGTTAGTGTCAACAACCTCTCCTTCACACCTGTTCCCAGCCCAGCAGGGACCATGTCAGACTGGTCGAGAATTTGAGGCACTCAGTTCGCATATGAGGAGACAGCGAAGGCGCCACAGACGTGAGGCTCATACAGTGAGCATCACAGTTGGGGTGGAGTTAGTCTCTCAGGACAGGACGTGGACATAGTGCTGGATTCTTCTCCAGGTTTTCACTCTGGTTTAGGGCAGTAAGGTGTCTACTACGTATTAAAAGTAACTCATCAAATCACTTAGCAGATAGCAAAGAGCAGGTCAAACCGGGGCTCCTGCTTAGAGTGTGCCACAGACCAAAGACTGCAGTGACCCTGTGGCCTGAAACCATCAGACCCAGCAACAAAAAACCCAAACAGTAAACCAATGAAAATAGGGAGCCAGAGGCCCAGGCTTTTTCTACCCCGTTCTTTCCAATCAGATTACACCCACATCTGGAGAGTTACAATAGTCCCATCATCACACCCTTTCTCCTAAGACCCAGGGATCTGATCAGAAGAGGAGCCCAAAAGACAGTGAGAGCCAGAGATGGCAGAGGACTATATTGAAGCAGTGTTTTCCCACGCTCAGTAGGACAGCTGCTTGGCACAGTGAGCCCTGCAAAGGATCTGGCTGGACAGAATCCCAGAGTAGAATCGGGAGGGAGTCAGGAAGTCCCACCCCTAGCTAAGGAGTCACTGCCAGTGGATAGCTGGTTAGGGAGGGTGAGGGTTGGTTTTATTTAAGTGCATGACCCCTGGTTGGCCCACCGTGCTCCAGTGATGGTCGCCCCCTCCCCCCACCTCCCCGGGAGTATATGGGAAGCACAAATTGGATTTGATGGCTTAAAGTAAAACAAAGAAGAAGAAAAGGTTCGAGGGAGGTGTGAGATTCTCAGAGAATTAGTAAATCTATTTTTAATATGCAAGTAGGCTCACCGTCATGACAACAAGGATAGGGCAATGGTGGCTTTCTTCTCAAACGCCCTTCTCGCCTGGAGGTGAAGCCTGCCTCTGCTCTTTGCGGAGCTTCTACACCACCGTCACTAACTGTCCCCCAATGTCTCACACTTTAAAACCCTGTTGTGGGGTGTGAGCCCTCGTGAGAGTCAGACCATGCACCCCGCTGTGCCGTCAGACCTCCCATGGCTTCTTGGAGTCCCTGCTGTGACTGGCTTGCCCTGGCATCTGTTCTCCAGGGCCTCCTTGCTACCTGCTCCAGGGCAAGCCCAACCTGCTCCCAGGGTTCCCTTTGTTTGGAAGACTTCATCTTCCCCCAAGGAAAGGTGCTTAGGAGCTCATATTTTTCGAGACCTTATTTGTCTGAAAATGGGCTTGAATTCATATTTAATCAGTAGTGTGTCCGAATTTAGGTAATGGGTTAAAGTCATTTTCTCTTGCAATTTCGAAGGCATTTGAATTAGTTTTAAATTACTGCTATAACAGATTACCACAGTCCTAGTGGCTTACACAGCAAAATTGCTCATCAGGGCTGCAAAGTCTGACATGTGGGCAGTTCTTTCTGCTGGTCCTGGGGAGGCTTCTGGCCTTGAGAGCTTCCAGAGGCCACATGCGAGCCTGGGCTCTTGGCCTCCTTCCTCCATCTGAAGCCAGCAGCCTGTTCTGGGCTGTTCCATGGCCACACTTCCCTTGGATTCTTTCTGAGATCCTCCCTCACCATTTTTCAGGGATGTGTGATTGCATTCCATCCACCCGGGTAATGCAGGATACCAGAAATCTTAAATCCATTTGCAAACACAACTCACCCCATCCTGAACGTATGTATACTCAGGGCTTAGACATTGAAAAGGTGGGCATTTTGGGGAAGGGCCATAGTCCTGCCTACCAGCACAGGGTTCTGTTATCTTCTGCTGCAAAGCCTTGATGCTTTCCTTTCTCTCAATTCTACTCAAGAGTGGATGATGCCACCAGCTAGCTTCTGTGGCTCTTTAAGGATGTTGTGGCGTTGGCACGTTGTTTTCAAGAGAGGATGGGCGTCAGGGACTTCTACCTGGCACAAACTGCTCTCATGCTTGAAATCTGTCAGTTTGTTAGTATTTCAGCTCTGCTGGGCAGCTCAGAAGCCGATCACAGAACAGACGGGAGCACAGTGAGTGCACAGGAGGCCAGGTCTCCCGATCCCATGATCAGGAGTCCAGCCAGTTGGAGGGAGGGAGTGCTGCTTCCTCTTTGTACCATGGGTACTAGAGTCTCCTCATTCAGCAATGCCATCCTGATCCTCAATGCCCTAAAATCCATGAAAGAAGGCAACTCCAGATTCACTCTCTTGAAAGTCTATAGGCTTCTTTCACACGGGGGGACAAATCTGTTGTTATCAATTATATATAGCACCCTGACCCTGAAGACTGACGTGTGGTGGAGGTTTGGGTTTGGGACTCTGAGCAGCAATGCCTCCAGGTGACACGAAGGCTCAGATATTGTGATAGATTAAGCCTTCGGGTTAAGCCTTCGGTATGTTCACTACTGAGTGGACTACAGGGAGGCGGCAGACAAGGCAGAGTGCGGCCATTTGGACAAAGAACGTCACCAAGGGCACAGTCTTGAAGAGTGTGGTCTGTGCCGCACGTGCTGTTAGCTGTAGATAGCATGAGGCGAGCAGCTCTCTCTACAGTGGGCTCCCGGTTCTGCCACACTGCAGTCCGCAAAGCAACAGAACCACAGGGCCACGGACGTGGCAAAAACATAAGTCAAAATATTTCCTCCTTAAATTATTTTTCGCGGGTATTTTACACAGCAAGGGAAAGCTGTAACACAAAGCTCTCTAGAGCTGAAATCTGAAAGCAGTTTGTCACAGGGTCTTGGAGAGGTCTCAGGACTTCTGGGATTGCTGGGGAATGAGGTTTGGAGGCTACGCAGGCAGCAGCATCTTGAAGAGGTGTTCTTGGCGACTGGGTTGGTGTGTGAGGACCAAACCCTGCTGGCCAACACTCAGCTCTTGGAGAGGGAGTCTCTGTTGTCTCAGCTGTCATGGGTGAGGCAGGTTCCTCCAACCCAGGGTCCGTGGGAAGAACTCACTGACCCAAACACAGCTTTGCCTTCATAAAGCTCACTTTGCCCTCTAAATTTCGTGACTGACTGGTCCCCATTCCAAACATGACATGCTTACCGATGACCCCAAAGGAGTCTAGAACGCAGGGCTTGGATTTTATCTTGATTTTTTTTTGTTCTGGCCCCTATAGCACAGGAAAGAAGTGGGACTGGGTGTCAGATAAACTGCCCCACACATTTGGCATGTTAGAGATTAATAGAAGGCAATATCTTTGGGAGCTTAAGACTTATCAGGCACAGTGACACATGCCTGGAATCCCAGCATTTAGAAAGTGACATACAGGGGCTGGAGAGATGGCTCAGAGGTTAAGAGCACTGGCTGCTCTTCCAGAGGTCCTGAATTTAATTTCCATCACCCACATGGTGGCTCACAACCATCTGTAATGAGATCTGGTGCCCTCTTCTGGTGTGCAGGAATATATGCAGACAGAACATAATAAGTAAACAAATCTTTTTTTTTTTTTTAAGAAAGTGACGTACAAAGGTTGTTAGTTCAAGGCAAACCTAGGCTACAAAGAGAGTTCAAGGCTAGCTCAGGGAATTTAGCCAGACCCTTCCTCCAGGAGGAGGAGGAGCTCTAGTTCTGGAATGACAGTTTAGCATGCTATGGTTTGGATCGGTGTCCCCAGAGGCTTATGCATCAAAGGGTTGATCTTAGTAGCTCCAGTGCTCTCTGGAAATGGGGAGGTAGGAGGTGGGGCCCAATGGAAGGAAGTTAGGTCACTGGGACCGTGGGACACCCAGTTCCTTCTCTTGTTCCCCCTCTGCTCTGCTCCGCCCCTACCAGGATGTA